AGTAAATATATTTGGTCTAATATCTCGAGAACTGTTAGAGACAGAGAGATAATGTAGGTTGACGAATTTTGTACCTATGGATACGTTATCGTTGCAGTTTTGCAAGTTTGGAAAATTTTTCTTTTTGTTACACGTATACATCTATAATAGTAATTACAGATCTTTCAACTTTTTTTTCTTTCGTAATGTACATTTTACATTTTTGATATGCACCTGTTCTGATCTTCTAATTAATAATTAAAGGTAGATTTGCCCATTCAATTGTTTACATTTAGGAAGAATTTGGACGAAGGAGAAAATAAGAGTCGATACTCGTTGATACTCTTTTCAATAAGAAAATTGTAAATATAGAATTAGATTAGGGTAAGGAAAATTGTAAAGATGTAAAGTTCTCATAATGCACATATTTTTGGTTTCACGAAATTAACGAATCGTCACAAGATTACCACGGAACTCGAGAGAAACCGAGAGTCTGTTCATAAAATCATGTCAATACTCGTAAATATTATTTTCCCTTGTGTAAAAGGATAACTATTATTAATTAGATTTCAAATGACGCAGAAATACACGGAGCATGGAAAATAAATGCAATAATCCCTTCATTATATTCCTCCAATGTGCAATCTATCTATCGAAGTATAGGTAAAACGGTTTTTTAATTATTGGAGGTCTTACACGAGCTATGTATATCCTTACATAATTACGTATAATTTGTATATACCTGAAAAACACCTTCGTCCACAACCAGATTCCAACATTCTGAACTAGCTTGATATTGTTGCTCGATGCTCTGCGAGTGAGACTTAAGGATAAACTGCTGCACGTCGTTCATGTGTGTCTGCTGCGTTGGAAAACCATTCGTTCGTTTGACAGTTTTGTCGCTCGGTGTTTCTTTTTTTTTTTTTTTCGATGTGCGAAATTAACGAAAGCAAGCACCACAAGTTAGAGGAAGCGAGATAGTCATCACACCAAGCGAATATTTTCTCTTCAAAGTTCTTACATCGCGATCGGTTCGCGGATAGCCTGTTTTAACTCTCCTGGGGGATCAATGTTCGCGTAACACTTAGTCCATTCAGAACAGAGTCATTCGTGCACAAAAATCTACACGCACTTTTATCAAAAAAGAAAACAAAAACAAACAAACGATAGAAGAAGATCCAAGTAAAACGAACAATATCCACAGTGTCCTTTCGTTTTCACCGTGCGAGATAACGAGAAACCAAGCAGCTTAACATGTAGAGTACATCAGTTCGTATCATGACAGGGTATATCACACATCCCGCTGTATTATTTCTACCAGCAAAAATGATTTCGCGAGATCCTCTCCAGTTCCTTCTTAACGACAAAAACACCGCACTTTTTCTTTAAATCCAGAACACTAAATCGTGTTCGACAGGACGAACTTGGGATTATCTAAGGACTTCCCTGTGCGAAGTAGCTTAAACTATGCGAAGTTTTTGCTATTTTTCTCTCTCCCTCTCTGTCTCTCTATTTCTCTTCTAGCCAGAGAGAGAAAAAACGGCGCGATGCGTTTTCCGCCTTGAAGGTCTGCGTTTATTTCGAACTGCGCGTAGTACGCGAGTGTTAGCCACGACCGCGTTGTCAGGAATACAACAACGCGATCGCGATCGCGCTCTCAGCAGGGATCATGGTAGGGATCTGCGACTTCTCCGATTGGCGGAACTTTTCAGGTGTATTTCTCCACGTGCATGCAAGTCCTGTGCACGTACGCATTGCGTCACGTTCGCCGGTCGTCGAGGACTATCTCGGTAGGTCATTGTCACGATCGTCCTCTCGTCTAACGACGTGACTTCTCTCGCGAAGAAGTACCGGCGCGAACGTTTTCTCGCCCGGATACCAGGCAAGTGGAAACATAGATGTAAAAACGTCCGGTCTGCGAATACAGTGGAAATATTTATTTTACCGAGAAGCTTACACACACACGTAGAGAGAGAGAGAGAGAGAACTGACCATCTTCTCAGCCGGCCGGCTTTTCTCTATGCAATATCCCCGCGTGTATTTCGATCTAAGCGACAGGCGTTTATTGCATTAACAGATCGTATCTCGGACAGACTCCGCGCATCTTATGTGTGTCAGTAGGTTCGAAGAAATGTGGTGGATGTTGGAAAATATAGTGCAACCTCGATTATCAAAATAACTATTTCTCTTTTGTGAGAACCTACGTGTTTCTCCTTTTTCCCGGACACTTGTGACGCGAGACTGAAATTTTTAGAAAATGTCTCAGTTGGTGCTTCGTATTTACCGTTTCAAGACCGATCGCTTAAGTATTGTAGAAAGTTGGACGTTTGAGAAAATATGAAATTCGACTAAATCGAAAAGTAACACGGTAGACTGAGCTGTGATGATATGAAAAGTAATCGAGGAGATTCAGCACTAATAATATGTAATGTAATCGAGGAGATTGAGCTGTAATAATAGGTAATGTCTGTGTTAGGTTGGGTATAGTTGGAAACGTTGCGAGATATAATGTTTTTTTTTATGAGATATCGAAGTATTCCACTGATCTGTAAGCTTCTCGGTGTCGTAGAGAGGACATTGCTAGATTTTAGTTACCTATTTATCTTCGTTCGATTTTCCATGTTTTTCTTCCTTTTTTTACTTCAGACCATTTTAAATACTCTTAATTATGGAAATGTATTACTTAAAATCGTTGGTACGCTGTAAATTCACCAATTCGATTTGTATAATTCTTTACTCTCATTTATATTTTGATTTTGAAATAAGATTCCTCGTTCAACTTTCAACGCTTTTCTTTCCCCTTTTTCTTTTACACCGTTTTAAGTACTCTTGATCATAGACCATCAATTCTGTTTGTCCAACTCTTTACTTTCATTTACATTTCATTTTACCTTAGCTTTAATTATTTTTATCCTTCTCTGTAATCGTACGTATTCTTTACATTACCTAATAATTACTATAATTTGCTTAGTTTCCAAAGAATTTTTCTGTTCATCGGTGTAAGTTTAGAACAGAACCATATGTAACAAAATTACAAACAGAAATATATTTTTTGTCGGTAATAAAGCGATCAAATTATCACTATTGTATTGTACAACAAAATAAGTTCGTATTGAATGCTAAAAGTGAAAACAGACTGTATGGAATAGGTACGAAGCGACTTTTTCGTGTCGGACACGTTCATTCGTTTAATCTCTTTATTGCCGTATTATGTTTTTATTCTTCTTCTTCTAAGTGAACTGTCTAACTAGTTAATATTCACGTTTTTTATTATGAAAACACTTTAGAAGGAAACTCGCGGTACAAGTGTGTCGAGTTGACGCGAAAAATAAGCGACAGATATAGTCAGTGACTGAATTTACACTCTGATTATTGAATAGTCTTTCCTCGAAAAAGAAAAACGTATCATCTCGAATGTACTTTTTATGCATCTCATTGTTTTAAATTTGTTCGATCTTTCGGCAGTCACGTAACTTTCGTTGTATTGTTACTAATATTAAGCAGTATTGTACGAATTTCGTGTTATGTCGTTGTGCATCGGAATTACAAAAGAGTAGTTTGTTTTTTCGTTTAAGTAGGTTAATTGTAACAACGAAATGCCGCGTGTCCACGAATTTCCTATTTTCATCAAATAATTCTTTCATATTTCATTCGTATTACTTGGACAAATGAAACTGAATGAAACATACAACTACTAACTTTTAAGAGTATGGTTCTCGGATTTGTCAATTTGTCAATATCTCGCTAGGCACCAAAATACGACAACAGTTACTTTTGTGGTACACAATCTGCGCGTGCTCTGTTTTCTGTATTATAGATCATGAAAAATAGCAAAAAAAAAAAAAAAAAAAATAGTTCACGAAACCATAACCGAAATATTTGCTAAAAATTCTCAAGGAGTTTGCAAAAAAGACATAGATTATGAAATACAAGTGTACGAGTAAGGATTTTATCTGAAAATTTAGACTCTTGAATATTTCCTCTTAAACATTAGATCTCAAATATCTTATCTGATTACAACACGCGGCACGTTAACTGTAGTGGAGCAATCGTAAATTCCCGGTAGCATGTTTGTAAGAACATTATGCATATTTACACGTTGGCAGTTTCAAACATATAAAGGTAAATCAAGGTGAGATTATTTAATACAAATCTGAATCGCTCATCGGGAATACTCGTACGGCTTGATTGTCTACACTCAGTCAAAAAAGTCTCTGTTCAACACATTAGAATTTATTTAGCGTTGTATAATTTCAACAGACGAGACAGTTAATAAATAATGTCTAGGTGATTTTATTTGGGAGCATAACATTCACTATTGAACTGATTTACATTAATTTGTTAACAGTTGAACTGAGGAGAAAGAACAATGTCACCGAAACTAGATGAAAAAGATTTCCTATCTAAGAATTCAGCAAAATGTCTGCAAACAAGGTTCCAAAGGCAAATACAAGTTATCTTCTTGTGTACAAACAAGTAGAAAAGACTCGAGTTACTCAAAATATATTTCCCACAATGGAGAATATCTATTTATTTATTTAAGCAATTTTGATGTCCATTCAGATTAATTTATATTTCTTTCCTTAATTATCAACAAATATAAATCATTTTTCTTCAGATTATTTTGCGTAAAATATCTATTTATATTTCTTTCCTCAATTACTAACAACTGTAAATTATTTTTCTTTTTTTTTCAGACTATTTTATATAAATTTACAACAAATGTAAATTATTTTTTTTCGTACCAATAGTAAATGTTACGTTTCTAAATAAAACAACGTGAATATCATTTACCTACTACATTGTCTATCAAAATTATACAACGCAAAACAAATTCTAACAAGGTGTACATACGGAGACTCTTTTACCTGAGTGTATCTCCTTTTGATCCAGCTTACTTAATATTCAATCCAGAGGTCACGACACTACCAGTTTTTCATACCGCGCAAGTGTAGCAGGTATTGCAGTAGGGACGGTTATCGTGATAACCTGGAGATAATAAAAATGAAGGTCGTGCATACCTGGAAGGAACGATGGTGTGGATGATGGGGATGATGAAACTGCGGTGTGTGAATCATGTCGCCGGTTTCAGGATCCTCGCACCTAGATGACTTCGCGACCTCGCCACTGCTCGAGCTGATAATAGCCGTTTCGCCCTCTGCACTCGTGGATTCTCCTCCGGTGCTATCTTCTTTCTTCTTCTTCACTTCCGGCTTCGTTTCCTATTTAACCAGCCGTCATATTATCATGTCGATGTCATGTACTTTCCTTAACCCTTTCGCTGCGGCAGATTTCAGTATTATGCAAAGATGAGGAGATAGCTAGCGATGGATACTTTGCTCGCACCGTCGAGCAATTTTCGCGTCGGTCGGTAATCACAATGCACGTGTCCCATTTCTAGGATTACGGCGGAAAACGGTGGACCTACGGTGATATGATCAAATCAGACTCGCATTCCTTTCGCTAGCCAACTCTTCTCAACTCTGCGTAGTAGGGTACCTGTCCGTTTCAGAGTAAAACTATCACGAGTTGCTCTCTTGAGAGTCAAATTTATTAGCGTATCGGGAGTGCTGGTGAAGAGCCGGACACCTAAATTTGAGAGTACTCTCGAGAGTAGCTATTGGACGATTGCAAAAGTTTGATTTGCTCGATTTGAAAGTAAAACACAAGCGGTGTGTACAAAGGCAGATTTCATTTGAAAATAAAACGAAACGAACAATTATTTGAAAATAAGACACAAGCGGGGTGTGCGCAATGGCACATTTCATTTGAAAATAGAAGACACAAGCGGTGCATCTTTCGATAGGAATGTAACGTGACGTTAAAGTAAATATTTGTGCCCAAGTGCGACAAGGTTTCCGCCACCTCTGAAAATTGGGCATGAACTTTTGCAATCATCGAGTATCTTAAAACAATTCTCAGATGGACAGGTAGTCTAAAGACGCTAGATTTGTAATCGCGATCGCAAAATCTTCTGCCTCTGGTGTTTTTAATATTTTAAGAACTTAAAAATTGATCGTTTATTAAATTAAGGTGGAAACGCGCAAAGAGCAAAAATAGAGAATGAAAGTAAGATGAAAGTGTGTCAAATGTCGCCAACAGTACCTAGATACACTGAAAAGAAATCTTCAAAATGTCTGTAGGCGCCAAGTGCACAGTGCGAGGAAATGTTTCAAAGAGACTATAAGCGCCAACAGCAGTGAAAGGGTTAACGACAAACAACTAAGATGCAGATGAAGCTGCTCAACGTGGAATATTTCACGTTTCTGAGTGCTTGTTTGGATTGATTCATTTTTCATCACGACTACTCCATCACTTACATCATGACCTTTCAAATAGATTGGCACAATTATGTACCAAACGTCAGAAAGAGTAAATGAAATAAATACTACAACTCCGACATTAAATCTCACAAAGAATAAATTAAATAAAAATTAGTGAAAAATCAATTCGATCATATTTCGTAACTGCTACCTACATTACAGCATGGACCAAAAGTCAAATTCTATCTCAACAGAAATGGTTTAATTTATGTCTCTTCCTAATCTTCCATTCTGTATATAAATCATTCCATGTGCACTTCATTAACCCTTTGCCTTGTAATAACGAGACAGACTCATGGCACAGATTTTGGTCGAAATGTGTAGAAAACATTAGTAACAAAAATTGATTTTATTTCTAACTTTGGTTTTAATTTACGAAACCGAGGATTACCGAATGTAATTTATAATTGAGTATTTTTTTTTTTTTTTAATTAATACAGTAGTGAAATAGTGAATATTTGACGCTTAGGTGCACAGCCAGCAAAGAAATCATACGTGAAGGGGTTAAAATAGTACCAGACAAATTTGGTCCACTCTGTATGTGATACAACATATAACTTGTAAGATAATCGTAAATAAATATCAGACAAACCTCTGATTGAGTTTCATCGAGGCCAACCAATTGTAGCGCCTCTTCGAGATTGAATCCGTCGGGAAGGCCCAGAGTATCGTTGTTGAGTAGACCTTCGACGGCTGCGCTTCCTAAGAGACTACCTCCGAGTAAGTCTGAAGGGAAGTCATTCTCGAGCTCTAATGTGCCGGTTAATCCCAAAGAATCATCTGTTAATCCAGCCAACGGATGATTGTTTAAATCCAAAGACGCGTCTGCAAGAAGCTGATCTTCCTCTTCGATCGTGTTATTTTCACTTTCTTCTTGATTGCCAGAACTGAGAATATATTCACCTGTAATACACGCGCGTAATTCAACTAGAACGGAGTTTTACAAAAAAGCAGAACGTACAAAAAGATTATCGTTGAAACGTTGAAAAATGAAGAAGAGGAGAAGAGAAAAAGAAGAGGAAGAAGGTTGAAATTACTCTTAAAGTCTCAACCTTTGGCATCTTAATAACAACATATTGTTGGCTGACTTATAGAAAGGAATGCACGCGATGAAATTATCGGTTGATGAAACCTAAGTAACCGTAAACAGGTTCGCGTGTCCGAGTACGATTCTTGAGGATCATTTAAAACTATTTAATTACTCGCAAGATTGTACCTTGCGGGACAGATTGCGTTCTTCAACCGTCAGCTATTGCATTCTGCTATTTTTACATTACACGTTGACAACTATAATTTATTCCGCGTACTATCATTCGTATTTAGCAGTCGGTAATGTAATCTCGAAACGAGAGAGAGAGAGAGAGAGAGAGAAAAAAGAAATACGTTCGATGGAAGGCCGCCGTTAAAGAAGTGCACTATTTCGTTTGTTAAATTCCAAGTCACGATACTGTTCGTCGAATCGAACTAACATTACTCCGTTCGACCATAATTAAAACGTTCTCTACACAACTTTTCACGACACGAGACGTATATTAGATCACAAAAAGTTTGTTACACGGATATTCCGTGCAAAGATTGTATTCCTTTTGTATGCTCTCGTCACAATTCCCTATTGTACACAAAATTCACTAAAACACACGCAAACACGAAAGCACAAATTTAATCGTCCATCGTTTGTTCGATCAGGAGGTTTCTATTAAAAATCCACCACACTATAGTTACGTTGTAACTGGTTGTACGAATTCGTGAAAAGGGATGAAAAATAATAATCATCCTTAGGATGATACGAACAAATCAAATTCACTGTGACTCAACTAAAGCTGTGTTCGCTTCAAGGCGTAGCCACTCGAGAACTGACTACAGCCGACGGACAGGTCAAATTTCGGAGGAGGGATAGGAAAGGAAAAAATGTAACTAATTGGGGGACAAAGGGGTGTTGTTGAAGATCCACCTGCTGGTTTGAACAACCCCCGAATGTTCCCGCCCCATGGCCAATCGCGCGTTCCCGTTTCTACCCTACTTCAGCCCTTACGCACGCTCCGAACGTCTTCGCTAGACCATTTGCCTCACCGTCGCTCTCCGAAATGCGTAACGCATCGTCCAAGTACTCGCTTACGATGTGTACAATGTCCTACGTCTCTTTGTTATCAAGTTCTTTCGTTTAAATGTCGAGGAAAAATCGAATAGACAGACGTTGTTGAAAATGAGAAATTTTACTTTTTCCATTTGTTTCTTGGGTAAGAATGCGATTTATTCAAGTTTGCGTATCAATTTTCGATATTGTTTTGTTAACCCTTTCGCTACGAAGGGCGTATACAGACACATATCTACTACTTAATTTGGTCGAATTAAAATGACAACTTTTTCTTTACTTTTATTTTTTTTAGGCAAGAATGCAGCTTATTAAGTTTTGTTTGGTAATTTTCAATATTTGTTATCCCTTTCGCTATGACGGGCGTGTAACAGGGTGCGGCTGAAAGTATTGTACAAGCTTGCAAGAGGTGATTCCTCACGCAAAAGTAAATAATAATTGTAGGATAAAATTTGTTCATCCAGGTCTTAGTTTCTGAGAAAATCAGGTTTGAAAATCCATTGGGTACGTTTGTATAGGTAAAGACACCAGTTTCAACAGTTCCTTAATTGATAAAATTTTGTTTTTCTACTTTCTTTTACCTAGTAACTCGTTAAAGCCACGTATACATTGTATACAAACGAACAAGGGAACATCCCGAAGTGATAATCACCGATATTAATGAAACTTTTGTATATGGTAGTACCGAAAAATCGTCCCCATCGAAGCAGTGAAAATCGTCTTCAAAGATGAGGGTAACGAATATATTTAGACAAAACTATTTATTATTTGTTATTTTTCAAATTTGTTGCTGAAAAACACAAAATTCGTCAATTTACACGATTTCTCCATCTCCAGTAGTTTTCGAGATATTAGATTAAATATTTCTCCCCTTCACTGTGGACGATTGTTTATATAAAAGAACACGTATCGAATATTTTTTTGAGATCTACTATATTCCAAGGTTTCATCAAAATCGGAGATTATCACTTCGAGATGTTCCCTTGTTAGCTATGCAAATATTTAGTGCAAACCCACGCACAGATCTTCAAACCTGATTTTCTCAAAAACTAAGCCTCGTTTGAAAAAATTTTATTCCACATTTTTTACTTATTTTTGCATAAGAAATCACATTCTTCTCGCTTGTACAATACTTTCAGCCGCATCTCGTATATAAAGTATAGATCTGTAAAAGCGGTCGCTGATTTACGATGAGCGTACACATACGCCCATCTAATCCAGAGAATTTATCACATTTATTTTCACACTTGACAAATAAAATATCGTCGCCGACTGGAAAGTCAGGCAAGACCAGAATGCAGCAGAGATTCGACCATCACTAAACAGTCGATTTTCAATCACACGTATCTTTATTTTCACGCCAGCGTTGAATAATAACTGTTTCGTCCGGTACACAGCCAGCGAGCACTTTTTGTCTCAAGCGTGCCGTAGCGAAAGGGTTAATTAACAAAAAATGCAAATTTCACAGTTGGTCCCATTACTTTTATAGAATATGTGTTTTCGAGGAATAGAAGAACGAACATCGAGATTACATCTATCGAAATAAAAACTTTAAGGTATACACTTAATGGCCTGCCGCTGTTCGAGTATTCGGTTAGCAAGTTGAATATTTAGCAGCGGAGCAAAATTTACACAGAGAAGCTATTTTACTCTAATTACTCTTGTTTTGACGCGTAAAAGGAAAAAAAAAAAGGAAGAAGAAGAAGGAAATGGAAATTACGACGAAGCTACAAATTTCGACAGATGAAATCGTCTTTTCCTTTTTTCCTCGCGAGGTGATGTTATTAGAGATAATAATCTCATAAAATAATAATTCTTTGAAGGTTGTTCGAATGCGGACAGGTCGGCTGAACTGAACGACAGACGGGTCGGCAAAAAAAGAGGAGGCTTTTCGTTTTTCTGCCGGTCATGAGTGCGGTACCTTGAGAAAGAAGATCGCACCTTTAGGATGGCTATTACATTAACGAGTAGTGGCGGCCATTGTCTGGCCCAAATGCGGGGTCGACCGCGCTATAATGGCCGCCTATAATTTGGAAAGTCAGGGCACTCCCTTCTATAGATTGAACGCTGCTTTTTTCAAATTTAAACAAAAGTACCACCAATTTCGAAGTCGGTAAATAGTGACACAAATTCGTAATAATTCATTTAATTTCGAAGATATTTGGTGGGAGATAATTTTCCACCTTACGATCATTCGCAAAGTTAACATTGTGTTATACTGAATTGTATTGAAAAAGACTACAAATTAAACAGGGAAATTACAGGTTTGTCGTTTTAATTGAACCCTTTAAAACTCCATGTGACTTGAAAGTTACATATCTATTTGTCTATATTTTATTTGTTTATACTATTATACTATTGAATTTTTTGTAATAATTATTAATTCTTAGTTTTCAGTACTTTTAAGGGTGTAAAATTGTAATCACTGTAATTTTTCTAGAAAAATTTGGTTATCGAGGGTTAAACAAAAGTATAGAAAACGTAACTACGGAATTTCGAAGTTAATAAATAGTGACACAAATTCACAATAATTTAATTAATTTTGAACAAACGTGGTAGAACAAAACTGTGAATTTTACGGTCATTTGCAAAGTTCAAATTGTGATATTAAACGCTATTTCAAAAACTGTGAATTAAACAGGAAAATTACAATCCTATCTATCGTCGTTACAAAAATTTGGTAGAACAAAATTTCTCTCTTTATGCATTACTCATTTTCCACTCTACGATAATTTGCAAACTTAAAATTTCGATATTAAATTGTATTAAAAAAAATAATTTGCCAACTTATCGAGATTAACAGAAGTATTCCACAACAGTCTGATCAAAATTAAGCTACTTTTCCATTCGACTTCCGGTGATTCTACTAACGTTATAAAGAATAAAAATATTTTCCAATATTTTTGCAACAGATTGAAATTTATCTATATTATCAACGAAACACTTTGCAGCTAACATTTCGGGATTGTCGCGCATTGTTAAGAAAACGCGGAGCGAAAAAAGGAACGTCTTTTAGGGGAGGGAATATCTTCGCCCGTTTAAATCCGCCGCAAGGGAATTTGCTTGATCACGGCGCGTTTAATGACGTGGTTCTCAGTTTTCTTCGATTCCACGGTTTCTTTGAACCGGTGGTCGGATTTCTCTACAAGCGCAGAGGAACGTCGACAGATCATTTCTCACATTTCGCGCGCGTCTAACGATCATTTTCTTTCCCCTCCGCTACCCCTCTCTCTCCACCGTTGTCCTTCTTCTTCTTCGGATAATAATTCTTGCGTTACTCGACAAAATTTTTCGACCAGTGGCCCTTTTGGGTTGAACATCAAAAAGGTACCAGGGCGCATTCGTGCCTCTAATACCGTATATCCACTTCCTAGAGGCTCTTACACGAACGCGTTCCAATACAGAATAGAGAGAATCCTACGATACGAATGCGCCACCACGATTGTCCTATTGCCGAATGACAAATATATCAAGGGAAATCTCTCGTTTGTAGGTTTGGTGAAAAGGGTGCCACAAATGGTCGATACCCACGACACGCTTCCAACAAACACTGTTTGATGTCTCATTTCTCCGTTTGCTTAGTGGACGTACGAATTCTGCGTTCACCTGGTGTGAAAATAAACAGCCGAACTTGTAAGCACCGTTACCGATTCTTATTTCTCGATCATCGATCGTTGTTGTTCGTCGCCGACAGGATATTTATCGAGTTTCTTTTACCAGGATGTATCGATCGGACAAGGTGAATCGTCTAAATCTCGTTCAATAATTACGAGGAATCGTAATTAACCACTTGCCTTATGATTTTTTTCAT